TGATAAAAGGCAACCTCATGCTCCGACTGTTCTATTTCACAACCTAACTAAAGACCTGTTCACTATCAGTCCGGTTTCTCTTTTCAAGTGATCGAGGGGTACTCACTGGCAACAACCACTGTATTACCACTACTCTTGCCACCAACCTAACGTTGCTTATATGAGGAACTCAATAATTTTCAATGCATTCTATTCCAATGGGACTATACAGAACTTTAAACAGTTACAAAGATGCCACTGGTATTCGGAGTTTGATAATGTTTTCACCCGTAACAATCTAAGTATGCCAACCCAATCAAATCAGAAGTCAGAAGTGATGAGGTTCTGAGATAAATTTAAAATGCTATCGGTATATAGAGAAGCGTTTAGTCTAAGCTGGCTGATGGTTGTGGCAGATGTGTAACACGGCGTACCCACCCGTGACCCGGTTCGGATGTGTGACTGAGCGCCTTCAGCTAGTGTATTTCCAGTGAAACTAATGAGGTCAGCATCGATGTCGATGACTTGCGGAACTGTTTACTTTAAGATCTTGGTAGTGACCCTGAGACGTAACCAGCCATGATTTTAAACCCAACGAGCATGCCGTTGATAAACACACTTCTGTGGCTTGCCATTTTCAGCAGCATCTGGTCGTCTTTACCTGATATAAAGGGAAGTATGGTACCATATAGTAATTAAAAATTATATAAATAAAATTTCTATTCATCGTAATCTCCATCCATTCTTCGTCTTTTTCAGCGGTCGTGGGAAAGAAAAAAATATGAATTCGTAAGTACATGCTGAAATGCACCCGCATGTCTTTATGGACATAAAACGTGAAAAAAAGTGGGCATGCATCGTATAGATAACATGCGATTGCACAAAAATTCTTTTTCACGAGGATATTATTGTACTTTATGAAAATGAAAGCATACACATGTCACCGTATATTACAAAATAGGTGTTTGCTCTTTAACACTACAATACAAATAAAGGAGACAAAATAAAATGTTATGTTGCGTCCTACTCAAAAAAGTAGTTTAAGTGTTCTGGAAACCACATCATTATTCCAGAGACGGGTGTTTTAGGCCGATTGTTAGATGCCATCGACGTCTCAGCTGGGAGTGAAGCTTTAAGCTGTCGGTAAAAGTGCTCTTCTGACCTGTTAGTTTTAAGGTGGTAGGTGGTCATTCGGAATCGTATGATTTCTATGTGTCTTCAGATAATGAAAAGTTCAGATTTGAATTGATGTCGACGGTCTGTAGTGGTAGTTGAAGGGCAGAGGAAGTTTGCTACGAATAATTTTAGGAAGGTGCTGACCTCTGTTTCTGCAGTAATGTACTTGATAGGTAGTGCTTCTGAGCATCGTGTGAAACTGTTAAGAAGTAATCATATCCATCCTGATCTGTTATAGGCCTTACTAAACCAGGATGCGCAATTTCGCAAACAGCATTAGCATTTGTGACGTGACCTAAGGGAAATTCGTTGTGTCTGATCACTTTAGATTGCTGACACTTCACACCGTATCGTGCAAGCTCCCTCACGTCTTTAGTCATACGACTAACACGAAAGAAGCTACTCTAGGATGACCACGATGGTCGCTCGAATACCTGAATAGAACAAATAATGCAACGTATTGTCTGTAGACTGGCATGCTTCTTGTAAAAATAAGTCGTTATATTGTAGACGTTATGTAGAAAATGTTTAGGAACGACTGTTCAATATCTATCTGCAGATCAGTCACACAGTAAAAGTTTCTTCCCTGCTCCCGTCTTTTCGGTTCGCAGTTTCAGAGTTGTCAGAGATAACTCTTGCTGCAGTTCAGTGTTACTGTTTTTCAGCTGAGCTAGTTTAGAAAAGTTAATTCCTCGGAAACTGTCCAAGGAAGTTATGAGAAAAAAAGCATCTGCAACTACACTGTGTGTCCCAGAAATGTGTTGTTTTGTGGTGTATGGTTTGTGCTACGTATGTTGACATAAGTAGTATATGACGCTAGTCAGAAATAGAATATCTGTCAGCAGAAGATCGAGAAAAAAATAATGGGAACAAAAAACAATTGGTATGGAAATGTGGGAACAATGAAGTCTGTGACAATTAATGAACATTTACTGTATGGATCTCAGATTTTATGAAAACGCTCTGTAATTATGTGTTCAAATACATTCGAGTGTTCCCACTTGTGTTCTCGTTTACTAAAGTATTTCTGAATTTACTGTGAAATTTAGTCCAGTTGTCGAGCTTTCGAGGAGAGTACTTGTCTGGTGACGAGTTCGGCGAAAAGGTGAGAGGTTTATGGTCGATGAAAAGTGCTGAAAGTGCTTCGCAGAACATTACATGGCTGGGAGATCCTTGCCGAAAGTGCTGTACCTCGGTTCTGTGTCTTGTAGCTGTCTAAACAAGAATGCCAAGGGTATTCAGGAACGGTTTACCGATTGTTGTTAGACTCTTTCGATTGCCGAGTCGGATACTTCTACTGCGATACCAGTGGATACCTAGGTGCTCTAGTGTGTGAGCTACGTTGCTTTGATGTTAAGTTTCTTAAATATGGAAAATGCCATTTTCGCTATGTCGTTTAAATAAATGGATATCGTATTTCTACGCGGTTGGTCGTTTAAAGGTTCAGTGATAGACGCGCATTTTGGTCTGAGTTGTAAACCCAAACTTACCAGGTAGTTGAATGTGAGTAACTGTTCTACTTTAGTCAGTTCCGGACCATCCGGAATACCCACCACTTTGTCTTCTAGAGGTCGGATGCCTTAAGCATCAATAGTCTGTCCAAAATAATCGAGGAGGTCTGTTCCGATCCGGCATTTCTGAATACTTACAGTAATGCCATGTTTTCAGAGTCGTTCGGAAATAAGGTTTACTAGAGATGGAATTCTCTGTCTAGACTTGCGAGTTGAGAGCTAAAAAGATGCCATCAATGAATCTCTCGAACATTTGTTCATCATTTCTTAAATTGAAAAGAACCGCTCAAAAGTTCGTAGAGTCCGAAGGGATTAGTGGTAGCGGCTTTTGGAATATGTCTGAAGCTACGGGAGTTTGGTCATATGCTTTAAGCAAGTCGATTTTCAAAAAATAGTTGTACTGCACTGTGTGCTACTTACACGGTCAGATATATGTGTTCTGCGTTAGGCATGTGAAGTAGAATTCTTACTGACAGAAGAAAACGGGAAGCAATCAAAGTGACAGCAGGAATGAAGGAACGATGAAGTTTGCGAGGGACTTTTCAGAAGAGGGTTGCAAATGATTGTTTATGCATGGTTTACATGTTTTACTAAGTCACTATGTAATTTTGCTTTGAGCAGTAATTCGACATTCGCACGAACGTGTCGTACACTACAACACCTTTTAAATTAGCCGTCAAGCCACGAATGTGAGGCAATGAGCGTCGATCGAGAGTGGCTTTTGCATTCTGTAGCCGACAGTCACCAGTTCAACACCACCAATTGCTGTTCTTTTTAGGGACCACGTGTAAGGAAGATGCTCACAGGCTGATCGTTGACCGAATAATTCTTGGGTCCATCACGTGATCAATTTCATTTTCGACCAACCTCAGCTTTTTGGAAGCTATTCAGCGCGCTTTCGGAAAAACAGTGGTCATGTGGTTGCGTTGTGGTGTGCAACATCGCTGGTTACACACGGCAAATTAGATCGACTATGGTACAGCTCAGGGCACATGTCGAGCATCCAATGATAGTGTGGGTTAGTCATATACTTAACAGTGACTAGGCATAATCTTCAGAGAGGAAATGAAGTTACGCAAACGGATAAGTTAGCACTCCCGTCTACTAACCTCCGTTTTCACGTTTCAATAAGTAGATTATGGTGATGTACCACGTCTATACCGATGACTGGCATAGGAACATCTGCAATGACAAAAACCCAATGAATGGGCCCATGTAAACCCACATGAGGATACACACATCGATTGCAGTAGATAACAATCACTTTCCCGTTTGAGGCCTGTAAGTTGAAGATCGGTTCATGCAGACGGTAATTAAAACAAACGAAAAGAATGCTAACTTCTGCGCTAAAGTTGACGAAATAGAGAGTTTTCGCCATCAAATCGATGTTGTATAACAGACGGCTATGTCATCCACGTACGATTGCCCTTAACGCGAGCCGACAGAGAATTTTCCCGAAGTTTTTCGTGTCAGATGATCTGGAGATTGAGAAACTAAAGGGCTTTCTGCAACTTCTAGAAGACGTGCAGTACTTACTGTAGTACCAACAGCAATCAGGACCACCCACCTTTCATGGTCTATACACAGATCGTTTTAGTGACGAACTTCTTCGAGGAGTTTGAGGCGGGTCTACGATTGTGATAGATTTTAAGATAACGAATCGGAGTACGATTGAGATCTGTGTCATCACTTTGTGTTGTTTGAGGTTTTTCTTTGACAGAACAGACTTTGGCTCTGAGGGTTCTAGCTATCTCCAGAATACAGTCAGCAAATGCAACAAATTCATCCACGGCATTATTTTGAAATGAGATCTGTTCATGAGGCTTAGACAAGAAAATATCCGAAAGCACTAAAGCGATATCACTATATGTAAGACCTAAACTCTAAAAATATTATATGATGTTACAACAACGAGCAGACTCACAGTTCATTGTTGAGTGAGCCAGATCTCGTTAGGTTCACCACCAAAAATGCCACAGATATTCAGAGTTTGACAACACATTTGGCCGTAACACTTTTATGATTGATGTATACCAACTCTGTCAAATCAGAAATGAGCGGGTTCGAAGATATATTCTAAAGACTATCGATATGTCAGGAAGAGTTTTTTCTAAGCCAGATAATAGATGCAAGAGATGCGTAGCACAGCCTACCTGTTCGTGATGTGGTGCAGACACATGGCTGAGTGCCTTCAGGTAGGGTGTGTCCAGTGAAACTAATGAGGCCAGTATCAATGTCGAAGACTTGCAGAACTATTTACTTTGGGGATTTGTTTGCCGCTAGAGTTATACTGTCTCACTATTTTTGTGATTGTTAGTTGCCTGACATTGAACCAATCTGTAGGACAGTTTGAAGTAAACCGACAAATCCAACATAGTCAAATTTATTAGTACTCACTAGTTGAGTGGGAGTGGATATTGCTTAAGCGCCAATAAAACGTCATGGTACTAGCCAAACCATAGTGCAAATCGGCCACTTAGTTCCAGACAGTTTACTGATCCTCGTCAAAACCAAGGATAACCAACTCACAACAATTAGTTGCACGACGTGGACTTACCCATGTAACTGTGATCACATCCTGTTCTTTGCACCGAGCCTGACTGATTTATTTCTGTAATAACGTCATTTGTATTGCGCGTTTACCGAAGTAGCTATAGTACTGGACATGATGAAGGGGTAATCTACGTTAGATGCTAACCATGAGGTGTGACTTGAATATTGGCTGGTTGGTCATGTCATTCCTGTTTAACTCTCATAGGTCCTCAACCATCCGTGACCCCAAGCTTTTATTCACTTACATGGTAATCGGATTCATGGTGTTTGTTTATGTATGTTGTTTCCAACTATCGCACTCGCAACATGAGAAATAAGACAACTATTAGAAGTTAGGTGTGGTTAATTGATACCAGTAAACTGTGAAGCTGCCGTTTGTTTGGCAAGCACTTGTGACTCGTGATTGTTGGAAATTAGCCTCGTACCCTATTGAAACCACCAGTTCCTTTTGATCAAGGTAATGTAAAAAAAGCTTCAAAAACGCATCTCAAGACTACATATTGCTGTCTGTGCCAAGTAGTGGTTTTGAACTGGTAAAAAGTACCACATAGACAAAAAACTCATATCTAACTACTGGGTCGAGCAAGACTGAAGAGGAAGAATTTGTAGCAGCTAGTGACACTCAAAAATAGTTAGGCTGGTACCCACTCAACGCTGGTGTTGAACGTGTCAGTTCTGAAAGTATTCATATCTGAAAACACCTGACACCTCCAGTGAAAGTTCAAGCGTGATGTTTATCTCTTGATTGTTAGCTTAATTACTTGCCGTTCGTTTGTCTCCATTTCTATCCAAACTTACTAATCCATATAACCTTAATGATCTTTGCTTTCTTTTTTAGTACCGTACATGAAGATTTACCATAGCAGAACCTACAAAATATCACAACAAACCCCTTTAATGTGACAACATTGGTGCTCAACTACTTAAATTATTAAACTCTATCAGTATGTGACGATATTCACTTAGCGCTTGGCAACGCTACTATCCGAAAACCGTAAATAAACAATAGCCCTAAACTAAATGAAAACAGAAGTCAAGAGTGGTAGGATGCGGATATGTTTGGAGAGCTACCGTACGAAATACATAACACAGCGTACTCAAACGCCGTTCAGTGGGGCTGCTTGGTCAAAAGCGTTAAGGTAAAGATATATCCAGTAAATATATTGGATTAGCATAAATATCAAATACTTACGAAGTTACTAATTTATCACTATATGTTCATTCGTCCGCTATCTCGTGTATGAATAAAATGAAATTTGACCAGCTTAATTACTACATTCGATTGCATACAGAAATAATCGAATATGAGAATGGGAAGCTGGATGGTAAAGAAATATAAACGGCATGACGTCAACAGATGGTTACGAATAGAGGTATTTTCCTTCTAGATCATAATGAAGCACTGAATTCCTACTTAGCCTTCATTTTTGTCAAGTGGTCTAAGCATACTGCTCACACTTTTGTGGTAGTTTATAAAGTATCATTGTATATTTTCAGAAGTAATGCTCAACCAAAACGTTTAGTAAAGTCGAGTTGTTGCATTCTTCTTTTTTTATGTATGTTGCAACCATCCTGCAAAAAATCAAGTAAATGAGTAAGGAATGCAGACTGTGTTGTGACCACTTCTGAAACGACATCGTATAGATAACGGAGGCTTAGTCTAGACTACGACTAGGACACGTAAACTTCGCATAGTATAACGAATATTTACTTATCTGAATTTCCTAGCCAGACCAACACAACTACCACTAGTTTCCATAGTAATAAAAGTCGAACGGACTGTTATTGACCATGAAATTATGGTTGGTTGGTGTAATACTTGGGGACTGGTTCCATGGTTCGTTATCGCACTTCCATACAACTTCGTGGAACGCCCTACTCTACAAACAGACTTTAGTTGTTGCTTTTGAATTCACTGACGTTCGAAGAAATTTAAAATACTGCTTTGATTGACGCATGATAGTGTCTTGTCAACACCACCAGCTTATTTTTCAACAATGATTGTTAAATTTTAGAAAATCCTTTATGATTCATCAGAACAAATCTCATGAGGCTTTTACAAACCTTATCAGTTTATGTTGTTGTGGGTTGTGATTTCGAGACAAAAGCACTTACAGATGATTTTGTTCCGTCGTTTAACAAAATACTTAAACGTAAGAAGTTCACCACTTTACAAAGATTTATCAGCTACTGCATCAAGTTTTTACGTATTTTATCATTCATGATGTGATTCTCTTTGAAACCTAACAAAAAATGATTTGAGGGCTTCGTAAAATGACACTCAGAGATTTGATAGTTTATGGAAAAAGACTGGATATATTTTGTTAGTACCGAGCATTATATCTCACACAGGAGAGGAGGATGAGGTACCTGAAAATGAAATTGGATTAGAGGTGGTCTTAGTGACCTGGGAGTGTGATCGCAGTGCCCAAGGAACAACTGCTTGAGGTCGGTCACACACGACCTTTTTATGGGTAAGTTTTGCGTTAGCTCCGTACTTTTTGGGACCTTACAGCCGGAGACGGATATCCGTGGGATAAGGCGAGGTGTGCAATTTTAGCGTCGACCTTTTCTAACCCCACCCCTCCTTGTGGAAAGGCAGCATCGCTGTCATGCTGGTTGTCTGAAGGAAACACCTTACTGCTGTCACACCTCTGTACAGTCAGCAGTACGACTTCGCCTTCGGACCTTGGGTTTGTTGCTTTTAGTCTTACCGCTCTTCAACCGACCTGTCTGAAATGGTAGGACCTTGAGGAACGGTTGTTCCAGTCAGTATAGCTCGGTTGCTTTATCACGATAGGCAATCCCGACCACCACGTCAAGGTAGCAACAACGGTCGGGATATCTCACACAAAAAGACACTTAACCCCATAGTTACACTGTTAACCAATGAGATTTATTCAGACCACAAAGATGGAAATGAACTAGTATCTAGTTTTATAAAAGATTGAAACTTTCTCGCGATACCACTGTTATTACGCAAAAGTCATAGCTTTATGAACATTTGACAAATCTTTGAAATTCTCATTTACAAGTTTAATGTGTTTGAAATTATTAAGGTTAAGATTTAAACATTGGTTTACTGATTCGAGAATTTATCTGTTCAGTTAATGACTGCTAAGTTATAGGAAGTCATTATTATTCTAGAATAAATTTTCTAAGGTTTTACGGAAATTCATAATAAATAAGCCTACAAAACGAGTTCTGTATTTTATACAAAAACTGTAAATAAGAAATAAATGAAAATTAACACTATAATGCATTGTTGGTGCATGAGTGTTAAATCACATGAAGGACTTTATGGTAAGTTAGAATATATTTTTATGCTTGGTTCGATGACAGTTAAGTTGAAGAATTAAAATCAATAGGCTAATAAATTAATACAACGATCAATGGAACACAATTGGCAAATTATTGTTTGATTAAATAGACGGACTTACCACAAAGAGATGTGTCTTGTCTATCCGTATGTCCGTCTATCACTTATTGATGGTAAATGGGAGTTGGCTTGTAGCCAGCCCCAGAATGTCTTTTATTTAGTTTATAACTATATATTGTTTGAGGATAATATTGTATGACATAAATGTATCTAATTAAATCTTCGCATCCGACCTAATTACGCCGATCTACAAACATGTTACTTCGTAAGAACAGGCGAATTTAAGTGTGAGGTATATATTTCCCTCATTTTTACCAAGTGCATTCGATTAAGGTCAATTTCTGAACTTAATTGACACCAAACCTTGGTCAAACTGTTATACGAGTTAACTGGTTATCAGCATCAAATGCTTACAGCACAATGAAGAACTAGTTAATCACTGAATCTTTGTTTTTGTGTGAGAGATATCTTTCTTATTGTTGCGTTACATCAGTTGCAGTTTATCGTTATCGTTTAAGTGAGAAAAAAACGTTTACATTAAATTTCTTGATTTGTTTACTTGCTATGATATTTTACTTAGAATTCTTAGGGATAATTCATTTGATTCACTGAGGGCTCAGTAAGTCAGTATCGCACGTTTTTGAAATATAATTGCAAATCATAAACGAGATAATCCTTATGGAGAAAAAAACCAAGAAAACAATTATCAAGATCGGTAGGATAAGAATTTTGGGGAATCCAACCAAAGGACTGGTCATAGTTCCATCCAACTCTAGTTCATTTTTCTCATGCCCATCTCCATTTTCCGGCGTAATGTGTTCTTTGGTCTTCCTCTCCTACTTTGGGTTTAAGGATTCCATGTGAGGGCTTGTCTTGTGACGCAGTTAGGTGCTTTCCTCAATGTGTGTCCTATCTAGTTCCAGCGCTTCTTCCTGATTTCTACTTCCGCTGGGATCTGGTTTGTTCTTTCCCACAGTTGGTTGTTGTTAATAGTGTCCGGTCAACGGATCCGAAGTATTTTGCGTAGACATAATATGGTATATAAGATAGAATATTGAATAACACTTATTCATCTAATCATGATACATAATCTAAACCTTAGTTTTTATTGAATTAGTTTATAATGATAACAGATTAACAAACACCCACTTAAACATTTAAATTTCATCGACTATTTTGAATTATTTAACTTCTGTATAATAATAATAAAAAATAAAAGATCATATGAAACCTACGAAAAAAACAAAACAAAAATAATAGTTAATAATTTGGTTATGTGTTTGTAAATTTAGTTGAAGTTAAAACATATTAAATTGAATAAATGATTCATTTGTTTAATGCAAAACGTCAGCATACATATATGTCCCGATTTCAACTGATCTCCACATATAACAATTAAGAAACCCCCGGTTTAATATTTTGATTTCTAAAAAATTATACAGTAGTCAATCAACATTTATCTATACGATATCATAAACTTGTATCATAGAGAATAATGTATTCCTCGTGTGTTCATATCTATTTATATGCATTAATATGTAAAATGTCGAAAGGAAACTCTGAACCAATATTTTGAGCTAAGTGGCTTTCGTCAGCCAAGTGTGCTTGAAATCTTGAGGGAACTGATGCTTTCTGAAGGATATGACTCCGTGTCATTGAGCTTCACAATCAGAGACGTTACTACTAACAATTACCTGCGACTTTTTAAAATTACTAAAACATAATGGATAAATGCTATGTGACAATGCCCATGATTTTACTGAGAAATTATAAAACAGTATTTCGATTCACATTTATGAATTATTATTCTGTTTTTAAATATTTAACACTGAAAACAACAATGTTATATGTATATATATTCTACAATGAAATATTGAACAAAAACAGCTTGCTTAAGAAAATAAAAACAGAATGTAAATAAGATGGTGTGAGAACATGAAACTCTTTTTTAAAACAATGAAATATGTCAAATTAAAGAAGAGGGAAACATCACTTTGCAGAATAAAAAAAGAAAAAAAACACTGCCTTCTCTATTTTCATATGACTAGACAACGAAAGTATAAACATAGTAACGCTTACATTTTGAAATGATAGAGAAACCTTGCAACAACGGTGGATGAACACCTATGATATTGTGTGGTTATTTAAATTAGATATTTTGTTTGCAGAGCTTCCAATACAGTTCTAGACATCATTAGAGTCTTCTTCATATAGAAATGAAATTTGCAGTTATAATAACTTAATGACTTCTATACTGAGTAGATTCTAACGATATTATTCAGAATGATAATGAAAACTGTACAAATAAACTATCTAACTCTAACGTATACAACACTACCATAAATTTCACACATTCATAATGAAGAAATAAAAAAACAACAACCATTTATTGTCATTGTGTAATTTGAATAGAAGACGACAGTTAAGGTATACATATATATCACAATCGTATCATTGGTAATAATAATAGTAATAACAAAATACTAAATGATAAGGCTATTATGAGCGAAACGTGTTTATTTTTATACAGGTAAACTCATTGATAACATTTTATGAATTAAAACTTGATAAGTTGATAGTGAATAAAGAATTTTCTGTATAAAACATGTAACAATATATGCATTAATATAGTCTACATTTTACAAGCATATCAATGTAAATTATTTAGATACAATGTCGTTAACAAACAACAACAACAAAATATATAATTGAATATTTCGAGCGGGAAAAAAGAAATGTTCTCATATCAATTTACAGTTTCTAATTGAATTATGTATTTATATAACAACAGAAATATGTTAGTGGCAGATATTTTACATGTACAATGAAATAAAATTTTAAAAAAAACACAGAGATAATAATCAAATATGTGAAAAAAATAATGATAAAGAATGCAGAGTGAGTGAAATGGAATATTAATGAGATTAAATATGTCAAAAAAAGAGAGAAAAAAAGGAAATAATAAAACACTAATTTTATTCTTATTACAATAGATTCATTGAAAATTCAATGTCTTTCTTCTACTTTGATTTGATTTGTTAAAATCGATTTGGCACGAACACGACGTTGAGCTAATGTAGAACATTCAACTGGTTCAAGTATTGGTATTTTACTAGTACTATTCAATGCTCTAAATGTAGCTTCGACTGAATTCTATAAAATAAATAAAACATTTGTAATAAAGGAATAATTTACTATTATTACTGAGAAATTCAGTTTATTTAGAGCAATGTAAGTTAAGAGTAATATTTACAATAAACTAACAATACGAGAAATAAGTAACTGATGATTATTTTCTATGCAAGAGTTATGAAGATTGTTAATTTATTATTATTATTATTATTACAAACAGTATACACCCATGATTCCTAAAAGAGATTGGGTTCAATATATTCAGGTCTTATAGTGACCGTGTAACCTTCAGGCATACGTATATAAATAAATAATATACATGCTATAAATATCTTCATTTTGAAAGTTATTGAACTAGTCACAAAAAGTAACGCTTATTAAAAATGGATAGGTGAATTTTCGTTTATCACATTTGAATGGTTCAAGTGTTTTCAAATAGTTTGATTAATCGAAATTCATTTATACCATGAAATAAAGTTTAGAGAAAAATTAGACAATATACATAATTAGATTCTTCTTCATATTTAGCGAGAAAATCAGTTTAAGTTGAATAAAACTTAAAAACCAAAAAAGTATAGATTTTAGAAATTATTAATAATTAGAATTAGATATACACTAACCTGAGGAAAACTACAGCCGATAATATAAGTAGTAAGTAAGTATCTTATTGGTTCTTATTAATTTCAAACTTCAAGAAAAAGAAAAACACTACATAATTAATTAACAAGCACTTACTTTTGTCTGAGTGACATCATTTAACAAAACGTCGGTCAATAATTCTGGTGACAGTTGATCACGATTTTTAACCCATGGATGTGATAAGATCGCGCTAGCTGTACAACGTTTAGATGGTTCAGGATTTAACATTTTTGTCAATAAATCCTAAACAAACATATGAAAGATACAAATGTAATCAAAAGTTATAGAAAGAGTAGAAAACTTATAAATCTTGAGTATAAATGACAGATAGTACAAAAAATAACTATAGTGGATTTGTAGAGATGGTTGGATATAATGGTTTACTATCACTGAAAAACCAAGAAAGCATTGATTTAAGTTACACAAGGAAACCATTAAATGCTGACTCAGTAATCTAAAGGTTAAGTACACATTAAGAAACCGAAATTTTCTGGATTTCATACTCCTCAATAGGTGGTCGTGGAATTCGCACTTATAAGGAGTTCCATATACTGGGACAAAACGGGTATCTAACGCTTTCTTGTTTTTACTGGTTATCTAAGGTGTTGACTGCATTTAAAAGTGTTCTGTTCTACTTTATGGCAGTGAAACATGGCCGGTAAGAGTAGAGGATATTCGTAGGTTACTAGTATTCGATCATATGTGTGTTCGAAATATTGTTCGTATATCCTGGGACCATCAAGTAAGTAATACAGATGTTAGGAAACGGGTACTAGGTAGGGATGGCAAGTCCATTGATGAAGTAGTGAAACTTCATCAGTTGAGATGGTTTGGATACGTGTTACGTATGCCCAAGGACCGACTGCCTCGACGTGCGATGTTCAGTGGTATAGGAGTAGGTTGGAAGAAAGCTAGGGGCGACCAGACCAAAACATGGCACAAGTTCATGAAGTCACTGACAAGTGGACTGAGCCACGTTGGTAGATGTAGACTACCTGGTTTGGATCCGCGAGACGATAGCAACCGATGGTTAGAGACCCCGAATGACATGGCTCAAAATCATTTGCAATGGCGCAGGAGCATCCACTCTCTGTGTTCTCCCAAATTCTAATCTTCTGAATTCCTCCTTGTCCCTTTTTTATCTTTCCAAATTTATTTCACTATATTGTACTCCTTGAATAACATCTTCAAACCCTAATCTTTCCTATTACTGCTTATACTCTTGCTACCTCTACCACTACAGGATTTGAATCGACAACGGTATCTGTGTGCTAATGCGGTATGGCAACTCAAACTGATGTACGTATGTATGAAGTTCTACGTTGTTGCTGACTGAAATTTAAAAGAGGAGTTGACAAACCAGTGAATTTGTTGAAGTCTGACAAAATTGAACACACATTGAAAAATGAGTTAGAAGAAGCTTGGAAAAAAAACAAATTATTAATTGATTCAACTTCAACATTTTTGAAAATAATTTTGTCATTAATGAAATATGAGTGGATGTAAATAAGATAACAAAATTGGTCACTAATATATAAGTAGATAAGTAGTTATTATTCGATAAGATAAATGATTCTTCAAATTTCCCTGTTTATCTCCCAAATCAAAATTAATTTTAAAAAATTAAATTTAAAAATTAAAGTGTAAACGAACAAAAAGTATATTCGATTTTTAAAATTAAGGAATACACACAAAGATTGATATACAATTATTTTGTGAATTATGCTGATTAAGCGCTTAAACTATGAAAAAAAGTCAAGTCGAGAAACTATTTCGTTATCGACAAGAGTCAAACACTAGTGGTAAGTGAACATCATTAGTAAATTTTTTGAAATGAAAGATTAATTGATGGTGATTTCTTCTCATCTTATATTATTTTTATTATTATTATTATTAGCTTTATTCAATATTATAATTTTGGTACAATATAGAATTCTCAGCGCAGAGTATTTCAACAAGTTTCCGTTTCTTTCTTCTTGGTCGGTCCTGGCGATAAATATTGAGGAATCGCCAGTTAGATGTTAGCACTTCAGTGAATGAACAACTGAATAATGTACATTCTTTTCGTTGTACATTGCCAGCAACCATATTGTCTCTTATTGAGTTTTCTGTAACTTTGACAACGAAAGGTTGTACACTTTTCAGAAACGCAGCAGAATAGGTTATGCGATTAATAAACATAATGATATATTAAAACAAACAACAATAGATAACTTGTTGAAATATCTAGATGGCAGGAACAGGTAGCCCAGATGCTCAAGCAGGCCGCCCTTACAATACAGGGTTTTGTGAGACATATTCCTCAAAAGTTGTGTTTAGAAGAAAGTATACTATTTCAAATGTAAACACTAAACATTTAACGTAGAATGAATGAGCCAAAAACGTTTGAAATAATTAACAAACGGTATATCCCGCTTTCTGTAAAAACTGTTGTTACTACATGCTTTTTGGCTGGACTTTTATACACAAAGAGAAAGTGTGATAAACCTCTTAATGCCATGATTGAATGTAACGTCTGTCAATTAAATAATCTTTTGATTTCGATTTATACTCTAAACACTCCATTTAAATTCACTCATAATGTTAACTGGAATTTCACACCGACAAGGTGGCCTGATCGTTAAATCACTCATTGGTTAGTAAAATGGTTTATTCATTTTGTCGATTGATTATTAGTTACCATATTATCCCCTTTATATGAATTCAATCTCAATAAATAAACAATAATCATTTCTAACCATTGTGTCATAACCCTTTGTTGTTCCGTGTTGTTTTGAATTCGATTTCGTTGACTAAGGTATGTATAACCCTGTTCATAAAAAATATTACTAATTGTAAGTCTTAAGCTGTTTACAGCTTATAGTATCCATTCACCTTATTCTACAAATTTAATTTTGTTTTTAGCTTTGTTTTTTTAAATTTGTCAACGAATAAGAGCGTATGAAGACAAAAACGATTCGGTTGAATGAATTAAAATAGGCCACTGAATGATATTTTTAATAGTTTCCAAAAAAAGGATGAAAAGAAGACAAATAAATAGTTTGATTTCAAGGAACTGTAATTGACAGGTAGGATGAATTTATACAAATCGTTTATAAATGTTAAAATCATGAACTATAAAAAGCACGACCTATTTTAACGGTGGATACAAATATTATGTCAGTGAATTTAATATTATCCTAACTTTTATGATTAATTAACACTCCTGACAAAAGTGTAACACTAATCTGAAAATGATTATTGATTACGCGAAGGAGTAAGTGATTAAAAATGTGAATGGCATACTTCATGCACGTCTTATTCGTTGCATTGCTTAACAGGGCTAGTACGCACACAAATCAGCTAGTTTATTACAATAAAGAGATAAAAAGTTCCGTTAGTTAACGAATAAAAGAAAATGAAGTAACTCAAATACTCATCAGGGGACGTTTTTAAGCGTCCATGAAATAATCAGTAAACAGAATATTACTATTAAATTATTTGTGAAAATTGTTGAATTTCATAACTTATATCACTGACTGCTCGCAGTTAAACAACCATTGAAATCCAAGAATCATTGGACAGTTATTTTGTCTTGATATGGTTGCATAATACCACGAAGTGAATAAAGTTCGACATATAAACCAATCGATACAAACCTGGTGGTCTAAACGTTAAGATATTCAAGTACCTTGGTTCCAATTCACGTTGGGTTTGTGGATGTGAATTGCGGAGTGATCTCATACTGAAACGAAACAGATATCCGGAGTTTCATGATTTTCGATGGTTGTCTAAGATCAATTCCTGATGAATGGTTTAGTTATGGGAACATTACTAAGAGCAATAAAGTACCTGCTTGGAAAACGACAACACAGTTACAAAACATTTATTATCAGAAAAAATGACTGAATTTTATTACTCAAGTATCAGCAGATTTAGAAATAGGCCTCCAATTACTATTTCCTTGAAAAAGAAGTAACCTCTTTATACAACGTTTCTCGTTAGATATCTAAACAATGATTACAGAATTTATATTAAAATTATAATTATAAACATATGTAAGACATATTCATAGTAATAGTGTGGTGAACGAGAACACAAGTGGGGAAAACCTATTTATTATTCAATGCGAAATTACAGAGTGCTTCAGTAAAATGTGAAAATCATACATTAAATACATCATTTGCACATCTTTGTGTTGTCTTTTATCTACCACACTATTCCTCTAATTCCGTTTTTATTTTAATTGCTCTCCGATTTGCTTTGTGTTCAGTCTTCTGCTGCCAGGCATGACAACTTCCGATCGTGGCTACATACTACTTACATCTGACAGCATACGCAGCGTACACCACACATGTACACTAATGATGTAACATGAATTATTCATTAAGTTTTTAAAACAGAAAGTATGGAACATTTATATCATATTCCATTGATTGTTATGAATAAACGACAATCACAGTATTTAACGAATTAAATCGAACGAAGTTCAAATATTAAAAAAGTTTACCTATGTGTGTTCAGTGTAAAAAGCTTTAAAAACAATAAGCTATTGACTTCACTGGTAACAGAATAGGTGTAACTGTTAGAGCAATTGGAAATATTTTGTCAGTCAATCCGGCATTCGCAACGCAGAACTTGCTGAACATATGCTTACATATGTGTCTGAATTCTCCACAGAATATCAGAGCAAAAGGATGAAAATACAAAGACAAACAATAAAGTGGTAATATCAATGCCAAAACTGGCTATGAAGAATATGAGTAGAAGTATAAAATAACTTGAAAACTGAAGATAGAGAACAAGCGAATGCATTCGCTGCACAGCAACCAACTTCGAACCATATCAACTAGCATCTCCTCCTCCCGTTAGTCAAATTCACCACGCTGGACTTAACCAGGAGTCAATTACTTCTTGAGTTATTGCCATGTCCAGGTTTAAACACCGCCAGTTTTACTCCAACCCATTCTTATGCCGACAAAATATTTTGTTCAGATCTGTATAGTTTGGCGATAGTTCAGGCCATAAACTGAAATAAACAACTATTAAGTGTTAATTAAAGATTTATTTTTTGAAATTCCAATAGAAATATTTATGCAGTCATCCAAGTTCAGAGTGAGACAGTAACCGACATATGATATTACGTAAAGACTGCATAACACCCCAAATTGACTACAATTGAGGATGTGAACTAATCAATTGCAAAACTTAGGTTCATAAATAATATACTAATCACGAAAATTGATTGTTATGCGTTTTATTAGACATGAAATTGTTAGTACACACTATTGAGTAGTTTTAATGTACAATAAAAATAAACTACTACTAATTGTTTATTCAAGGGCTCCATCTCTCTTACTATATGGTGTCGTGAGTGTAGTGAACGCTACTCACAACATTACTTGTAAGTTGTATGTTGAGGAACACGGCCTCAAAGTTGTCAGATGGAATGAAGAGTCTCAGTACAGCGAAAGCACGGCGTTGGCAGAGCAAATGATTCTATTTGAAATATAAGTATAATGGTAATAAACAATTGGTATTTATCTATAACTATTTGAAAGAATATGTAATAAAGTAGGTCAACATTTGGTATAGTTAAATCAACTCCTCTAACAATTAAGTTATAAACACCAGTTATAATGGTGAAAATCAATCTTATCAAGAAATTAAGATAGAAAATTTAATTTATAATTTACTTTCCTTAAATATGTTGTGACATTTGGAAAAATTACATTGATGAAACTATAATTTATAAACGACCTATGTATGATTATAAATGAGACTTGAGAAACGTCGCTCACTTATTAGGGTTTAAATAGAGTTCTAGATTGATGTGAGGAATTTGAATTAGAACTTAGGAAATAGAGTAAGGGTTTTTATTACGAATGGAAATCAATTATAATGAAAAAATGTTATGTAGTCAGATAGATAAGTGAATTTCGTGCAGATATCGAAGAGTCACTATTTTAAATGTGATTAGTTAGTCCATAAATTAGAGTCCTGGTAGTGTATTCATACAGATTGTAGGTGTAGAATGAAAAATAATGTATCACAAGAATATTTTTTAATAAGATAAATGTTGATAAAATGAAGAATAGTTTGTTATGGACTCAATTTATCTAAGCAATCATTAGAAAGCACCAACAATCCTCACAAAAATTACGGACAAATTTAGCCCGTCAATAAATACTTTAGATGAGGTTAAAGATTATTATCGTTTCAAATTATTCATTTTATTGAATAAGATGAAGAGTAGATAAACAGTTGACTTTCGAAGCATATACGTTATTAAATAATTTGTTACAAACACCAATAACAACATAAACAACAAAACTATGAATGTAAAATATCACAAAGTTGAAAAGTGCATTATTTCACTATAGACATACATTTTCTCGTCAAACGATAACTTATTGGCACTTGAGTTATTTTGCTTACTGGGCATGTGTTTTATACAGACACGTAAAGAAGGAAAATCTTGAAAAATACGTATAATTCAGTTGCATTAACATTATGAATAAGATCTTTCATTAGTATTGGAAAAGACGCATCTTTGTATATATAATGAGTGAACAATCAACCCAAAAGCAGTGAATGTTAAAAGGGAATAAAAAGATCCACCAAAACACCAATACTGTGCAATAAACATAGATTGGTAACTTTCAACTAATATAATGTTACATATCAGATACTGCGACATCTACGTGAAAATTTAAAAAAAACTATTATTCACATTACAAATGTGAATAACAACTGTCCTTTTAGTCTAATTTACTGGTATTACTAATATTAGTTGTATATTTTCTGTTTCCTCTTTAACAATGTATAAACCGGTTAAAATTTTCATAGAAGGCATTGAGTAACTTATGTTATCGCTAGTCAGCTGACTGGTATTGTACGGAATAGTGGAAATTGTTTTAATTGAAAATTTTTCAGTATATATATATATATATATATATATATATATATATATATATATATATATATATATATATATATATATATATATATATATTACATCATCACTTTTCATGTGTCGGTAAAAGTGAGATGTGATTGGTTAATGAGAGAAGATGGATACATAAATATATGAGACAATATTAATATTGTATGTTCATTCCACTGCAGATTCTACTGGGATTTAACTTACAGTTGACTATTTTGTACTTGTGTCGATAAACTATTGTTCTTTCTAATATCTGGTTCTTAATGGGATAATTGTATTATGCATATCACATAATCTAGTATCTAGTCTAGTACTTCGTAAGTCGATCCTATTATCTATTGTCAGGTCTATTGGTACTCTTATCGTATTATCTAGTGTTTAAGTGTACGATTCTATCAAGTGCAAATTTCATAATTTTCGCCATGTTATCAAGATCTTAAAACATATCATGAAGCTGTACATGTAAATGCGATAATTATTCAGATGAAACATAACAAGGAACTTATCTTTTTAAAATAAATAAGAGCAAATAAAACTATAGAATGCATGGATTGTAGCTAGCGATGGAATCAAGGACACGTATTTTGTTCGATCAATGACTTATCAGATGAATTTGCCTGCAGCTCAGGGTTAGTGTTCACTCTAAAACGTAAATCTAGTACCGTTCACCAACGACTATTCACTTAGCTTTTGAATCCAAATAATTACTCGCTTATATAACGGGTCCCTGATGAGACGAAACGAGAATCCTGGATACCACTATTAGCCCCATCTCATTTATTCTATATTATCTTCTGTCATAATGGCTATATCAAGACAATCCATACAGTATGCATGTATGCCAAAAAAAGACATTAAATGTTAGTAAAAAATAGTATCAACAACGGGATAATCCAAACTATTTCAAATTGAATTTTATACATATATATGAAATAATTGATTTAAAATATCTTTACTGTTAAGTGACCAAACTTGACTGAATGTTTTTAATGATACGGTTTAAAACAAAACATTTCATCTCGACTTAAAACGAAACAATACCATTTATATTGATTTATAGGTGGAAAAACAAACAAACAAGGAAATTGAATTATATGTTTAGTTCGATGTAATCAGGTCATGCATTTTGATTGTTTTTTTTTTTGTTGTTGTTGCCAAATTATAGACATTATGCATAATTTCTATTATTTTGCGTGTGTGTGTTTACGTGTTTTTTTTTCCTTCAGAAAATAGAATGGAGGTTATTTATTAATGTTGACTAGTTAAATAATGGTTGAATAAGGCATCATTCTGGCATTAATTTCTTTTGTTTTTCACCTCAATAATGAGTTCATGTGATTTGAAGATTTGAAAGAAATAAGAATAATTAATATACACAATAAACTTTATATTATGTCATTTTCTAGAATAAATTATTCACATTTATATAATGAATTGAATTAACATTATGCATTCATTTCACAATTGTACAGTGATATATATATATATATATATATATTAAAATGTATATACATAATTTCTTTTAAAAAAATAAATAAATTCTAATACATACTTTTGCTGAATCAGATATTTTATTCCAATTATTATTGATTAAATCTAATCGACCAGATTCTATACGTGATAAAACTACTTCAGATGATTCATTTGGTTTAATTGCAAATGGTGTTTGTCCAAATAACATTGTATACACTAATACACCTAAACTCCATACATCACATGCAGCATGATAACCTTGCATTTTTAACACCTATATTATTATGCATTGATGATGATATGTAAAAAAAATATAAGAAGAGTAAAGATATACAAATGAATGAAAAGTGATACATACACAAGTGAAAATTAGTTCAAAACGTACTAATAATAATAATAATAGTAAATAATGATGTATACATACATAAAGTAGTTTGTGTATTTATAAAAAGTTATTAGCCCATAAATGTCCTGGTGCGGACAAGAGTGTGGAGAGTCAGCTCTCTCTCTTGAAATGCTCTAACATGGCCACGTGCATAAAATTACTGCCAAAAAAGTCCTACTCACTGCATTCTCATGGCGGGGGTGTTGTTTACGTAATTGAGGGAACGAAAATCGAATGCCCGGTGCTTTAAGCGAGTTGATGGATGTGGAGGATCCACAAACAATAAAACAGACGAACTGATATCATTTAAATGATTTGAAGTTAACACTAGATTATTCACAGAGTGAATAACTCCTAACAACCAACTCATTTCGATTGTTTTTTTTACCAATACATCAATATGTCATACAAACTGACTGATGTTAATTGTTTTCTCAATTTCTTTTTTTAAGGCTGGTCCTTCACGTTTATCGGGCAACTTATTAATTATTCTTGACTGGAATATGTCAACTAAGGTCCAATCTTCTCTAAAACTAACTAGTATGTCTGAATAAATTGCTAGTTTTTATTTGCCAAAGACTGATTATAGCGTGTGTGCAAACGAAAACCAGAGAGCATTAAACAGCTGCTTCGCCTCAATGCAGGACTCCTTAGAAGAATGTACCCTAGATCACACAAAGGGGTCGGTTCCAAGATCTTCAGATACCACCGTGAACATGAACATTAGAAGCACCGGGTTGGTATCTTAAGTGAATAAATAAGCAGTATATTATAAAGCTTTAATGTTTTTACTGATGGTTCCATATCAAAGCAAATTAAACACAAATACGATTTTAAAAAAATCAAAACTGTCAAGCAATTTACTTCTGGTGCGACAAAATTTGCAGTATAACACGGTGTCATTAAAAGACCATTTTCAGCTCTCAATTGTTTTGCAAAACCAAAATCACATATTCTCAGGGAAGATGCATCACCAGAATCGTCTGCATATAATACATTGGATGGTTTAAGATCACGATGAACAACCTGGCAAAATAAGGGATATTTATATACACATGGAGTAATAATAGGTTTTTAAATAATAATTATACAGACATCAACATAATGTAATGTATTAAGATTTTTCAAGTAATTTGTATATGTATATATAGTAAATTCATTTATCCTATTGGTTTAAACCCATAAATAAGACTGAAGAAATATCAATGAAATCTATTTTCAAAAAAGGCATAAAATACATTTAATATTATATCACAGAAAGCAAAATATTCAACACATTTCTTGATCACAAGTTATATTTCGGTTGTCTATTTAGTAAATCAAATAAAACACAATTATTTACGCCTTTTGAGATCACAGACCGACCTAAGTAAGTTATCCATTGAAAGCCAAGAAGCATTGTACAGATGTTTCGTTCCCGTGTAGGACTAATCCTCCGCAGTTTGTATTTACGACTCCGTAAGGAACAAAATTCAGAATTTGTAAAGGGAGTTTAAACTTTAGGCTATTTATAAATCTTCAGCTTATGAAACGCGTTTTTCTAAAACAGATTTACCGAAATAATTATCCATAAGTATCAGAAGGAGTTTTGTGGAGATTGTAGTAATTTCAATAGTTAAGATCATGAGTCAGGTTTTCCATGCTGGTCTAGCTTTAATTAACTCATGATCTCAACTATTGAAATTATTCATAAATTGAAAATGTGAAATAAATTATCCATTTTGTTAATGCTACTTTACAAAAATTTCTTTCCAAGAGATATTCCTAGTGCGTTGCGTTTATAAATTCAAACGTGTGATCGTCATTAGCATAATGAAGTTGTCAGTAACAATCTATATAAATGATTTAGTTTCGTTCAAGATAAGATGAAAGCCTATTATTTGTTACAAATGCTTGTATTGTGTATATATTATGAATATATTTATTAGCTTAGATTATACAGCACACACATACACACAAAATACACATAGTGTTTACACAATTCTATTAAAAAGGAAACGACTTCGTGTTGTACAACCAAGTGTCTGATTGAACAGGTCAACTCATTTTCAAATGAACTGTTATTACATTCCAATTAAAAACTTATTTGCATTTTAATGGCTACAACTTATACCTATATACTATATTGTTTACAGAGTATAATAACTACACATACATTTACATTGACCTTCAGAGATATATGACTAAACTACAAATTAATGCAATGATATTTGAGTTATCGTTACAAGACTAAAATATGTATGGTTTCATGTTCACATGACCGAAAATACACGCACTATGTCTATCAAGGATTTTTGGTTTGAGAGATTAGTTTTGATAGGTAAATGTAAGCTATGAGAGGATGTGAGTCAAAAGCTCAGAGGAAGATGTTCTATTTAACGAGCTGGATGGTAAAAGATTAAGCCAGAGAAGAAAACATTCAAAATAAGTATGTAAACAGCGATAACAGTAAACGACAGTAAGCAATCAAAATCCATGTCAACAGAACACTCTGTTAGTTAATTGTGGAGAAATTCTAAATACTCACTTCATTTCAAACTATGTACTGATGACATTGTGCAGAAAGATTATGGGAGATTCACGATTAAAATATTTATCTTAGAGAGCACAAAACCTGTAGAATGCAGTATTTGTTATTTTCACATGATATAATTTCACTTTTTTAAAAGATAATCTGAAGTGATACGTGCTAAAACAAGACAAAGTGATGTATCAAAAAATACAGACTACACAAGCACAATAGATTGATCGATGGGCAGTGGTCGATGCCATATTTGTTATATATGTTACATAAATTGTGATATCACTAATTTAGGTGAATTAACGTAACGTGTACTATGACCAGTTGTTAGTTGGTTGGATGTGGTAAACAAGAAATCCTGGAATACGGTCTGTTAGTTAACATTTTTCAACATTGTATACCTAAATCTTGGGAGACCTGATGCTTGCTAAGGGATTCGAATCAGAGTATTAAAGGAAGAATTGTTAGAATCACGTCTGAATATCGTTACTCATATTATTATTACATTCACCTTATAACAGCTAGATTATTCGTTTGGATTTATTCATTAAATATTGTAAAGACAGAATTTATAAAATTAAACACATTATGCTATCACAACGATAAAGCACTAGAAATCTATACTGTGAACTCGAAACTTCATAACAACAAATAATTTTGAAAACGCACAACATAATAAAAAAAGCCATTAACTGAGTTTACAGAAAACGAAAAATTACTACTACTATTACTACATATTTATTTAATAGTATGACAAGTAAAGATCATAGACGAAACATTTGTGAACCAAAATGTTTCATCACATATTATGCATAAATGATGAGGATAAGTTAAGCAATGAATCGATATTTCCTCAAACAGTCTATGAATTAATGTATTCTATTTATTATTATTACGTTTTCCTATGGTAAATACTCGTTTATTTTACTCATTAAACACTTTTATCTTATGACTTTGTTGACGAAACGACTGTATTTTACATATACAGACCAACGTAACTAAAAGGTATTACTTTTTAACTAGTTTTTCTACATAGCTGTAGACTGGGGTATATATATATCTTTTGTATTGGTTGTTCAAATCTCCCCAGTGATGTTTAGGATTATTAGCCTTTTCTGGGATACATGCATAGCGTGAGGATTGTCTCGATAATGCTATAAAATAACAAGGATTTAGGCAGAATTTTCACTGCAACTGCTTTTTTGGTTAAGCATTGAGCCTGATATATTTTAACTTTAAACGAAAAGAATAGTTTAAAAAGTTACTTTCTACCCTCAAACAATCAATCAGAAAATAAGAAACACATTTCTAATCATTGAGTAAAAGGCAACGAATGTTCAAAATCACTTTCCCATTACATTTTGTCGTTGACGTTTATTGAACTAATAAGTGGTGAACGACTTACAATAAAATCTCATTCACTGAAGACTATTTTATATAAAAAAGAATTATTTATTCATTTGGAAGATGAATTTCAAACGCTATGATTAACTATCTGAACTCATTGTTTTTTTGTTAATCTTTCCCGATAATAATTCACATAAAATTTCGTTAGAATAAGGCACCTAAAAATAATAAGCATTTTACATTGTACTATTTTAACTTGTGTAAATTTAATTCGCTTATTTATTAACCCTGAAGAAGTGGCTTACATTTAGTCGTGAAACATTAGTAATATAATTTTGCTACTCATCGGGATATTTTTAATAGTTGAGATCATGAGTTAATTGAAGCTAGACCACCATGGAAAACCTGAAAGCACTGGACGGTCGTTTCTTTCTACTATGGGACGCCTCAGCAATGCGCATCCACGATGCCGGCTCACGAGGTTCGAACTCAGGGTTCATCGGTCTCGTACGCAAGAACTTAACCATTAGAACAATGAGCCGGCATCAAACGGTATTAATGTCTAACTTCAACTAATACACGAAATTAAGCGATATATCCACCCGTGTTCAGTGAGTTACTATCTCACAACAGACTCGGTTGAACTCCACTGGTCACTGCTTCATTGAGATATAACAAAAATATATTTATTATTAAATTTCTACCCAATACTCAATTTATTTGAAACTACCAAATCAAACCTTGGCATTGATACCTAAAAAGAAGGATACCATTGCGAGGTAATAAAAAAACAGAGTGAAATCAAAACCAAAAAAGGAAAAGATAAACGGGAATAATCTATCAAGGCAAATATAGTTCAACTCATTTAATAACTCAAATTCTAGATAAAATAAGGCTAGAAAATGATATAAGATTCACTGCATACAGTCATATTTAAAATCGAAGATAAACATTTTTATCAGAATGGGTTTTGTGGAGAGTTTAAGAAATTTCAAAGGTTGAAATCATGATTCAATTGAAGCTAGACCACCATGGGAAACCTGGAAGCACTGGACGGCCGTTTCAACCTAGTATGGGACTCCTCAGCAGTGCGCACCCATGATCCCGCACCCAGCGAGATTCGAATCCAGGACCTACTGACTTCGCAGTGGTCTAGTGGTTGAGTGCTCGCGCGCTAAGCCAGTAGGTCCTGGGTTCGAATCCCGCTGGATGCGGAATCATGGATGCGCACTGCTGAGGAGTCTCATGCTAGGACGAAACGGCCGTCCAGTGCTTCCAGGTTTTCCATGGTGGTCTAGCTTCAATTGACTCATGATTTCAACCTGTGAAATAAACATTTTTTTGACTTTTTGGATAGGAAAGCTACATTCTAAATATAAATGACTATTTTAATAAAATCTTTGAACCCTTGCAAATATAGTGATATTGCTTTCGTATGAATGATCATTTCAGATCAAAATTATTCTCTTATTATATTTTTTTTACAAAATACATGTATGTTTATTACTGTAATAGTGTTTATTTTATTAAACACAGTAACCCATGTGGGTTGAAGTTAATTCATTTCATTCGATATGCCTTAAATATATGCTCCTTTATTTTGAAGTTTTTATGAGAAATGGGTTATACAAAAAAAATTTATTTTACTAATATAATTATTAAAACGCTTGTATAATCAGACAAGTTTAACTTTGAAAAGAGAATTTATGAATTAAGTAATATTTGCATTTTAGTCGATAAAATAAAAGAACATGCAATGTTGATAATAATTATAAATAACTACTTACTTATAGCCAACGAAATCAAAAACAATATTTTTAAAGCCATGTGTAATAAGCTCTTAAAAATATGTAAAAGGAATGAGGTCATATTGTGTCTTGAAAAGCTAATGAAGGTTACGTATCCAGTTAACCGATCGAAACTCCAAATATAACTTCCTTTATCCTGCGTCTGTTCTTCCGTTTACAGCTTAGCTCATAGTTCGTAAACCCTTCCTCATATCCTATCTTGAGTCAACAGAGAAGTCAGCAGCCGGTCTATATTATTATATTTAAAGCAAATGTAGCTTTATATATAAACATACTGGACTAAATAGTATTGTGAAATAAAATATCACAATTATAAATAAATAAGCCAATAGTGGCTGTAAAAAGGTAATGTGTGAGTAATAGATTGGCAAAAAATTAGAAATAATAACTCATATAACAACAGTTAATTCGTTAAACGAAAGCTTCTGAAAAACGGTTTATATAGACATAGTAATCCAGTTACATAATAATTAAGTACTAAGAATATATATAATAGTAAATCCTAAAACGGTTTTAACATATAAGGTCATGACAGGTTAAATGTTATTCTAACATGGCAATTCACTATTATGAACACATAAAAATCAAAATAAACTGAATAATTAAAGTATTAAAGTAACTAAGGAATTACTTTGAAGAATGCAGAATGTGTTTTGGGAACGAAGTGTATACATGATATAATGTTTGTAATAAGAACTTAAACATAAACAGGTATCAATGCCAAGGTTGGACGTGATCGTTTCTAAGAAAATAAGCATTGAGTAAGGAATTAGTAGTAAATGTTTCTTGTTATATCCCAATGAGTAAAACGTTTTGGTCCTGACATTTTGTGACTAAATGTGAGCCACTTCTTCAGAGTTAATAAATAACCGAATTAAATTCTCACAAGTTTAAATAGTACGAAGGAGACAATGCAGAATATTTTTAGTACAATCAAAATCACAATAGATCTGAATGTCAATGTCAAGTTATTCTTGGTCAACGTGAATCTTTATAACCTGTCACTGTATAAAATTGTGCTTTATAATGTAGGAATGAAAAATGTACGCATTTGCAATATGTAGTGGTGTTGAAATTTAGTGTGTATGTGTCGGTTGTGTTAAAAAATAAATAAGGTCAAATGTGATTTTGTATTAAAAGCTGTATGGTAAATATACGTTACAGAAGGGAATTATGGTCAAGGAAGGATGAGAGGTTGAATGTATCGTTTTTAAACGAACAGCTCAGGTTTGAATTGGTGGATTGCCAATGCCTCAGCACTGTGTACGTTTTTGACTTGACTATACAACTATAGATACGAATGTATCGCTTAAGTAAACGATTTCGTCTAAAAGAAAGTTTTCTTCACTGAATTTTCATTATTTCTATTGATTGACGGAGTGGGTTATTTTAATTACCGAATGTGGACGTTTGGATAAACAGACCAGATTGGATGAATAGTCAGACCTTCTTTCTTAATTAGGGTAGATGGACTTAGCATCATGTGAAATGCTTCGGTTACTCACCTCTCTTTATAGTCGTAAAAGCCTTTCTGAATAATTTTGATATATGGCATGTACTTCTATTGCTAATTTAACTTATAAGTTTTCCAATTATTAGGTCTTTTTGTGTAACTTAAGTGTTCCTTGGTATGAATCCAAATCTCACGAGAAGACTCTTCAATGTAGAATGTATCACAATCGACACAGACTAATTTGCCGACACAATTTTCTGTGGAAGTGAACGGGATCTTATCTTTTGTTCTAACTAAAGCATTTTTTAGGGTGTTACTTGTCTTATAGAAAGCTCTAATTTTATACGTCTTTAATACCAATATTTCATATTACAAATGCATACATTTTGGGTTCCCATATTCTAAAGTAGAAATTTATACAGTGACAGATTATAAAGATTCACGTTGACCAAGATTAACTTGACATTGACATTCAGATCTATTGTGATTTTGATTGTACTAAAAATATTCTGCATTGTCTCCTTCGTACTATTTAAACTTGTGAGAATTTAATTCGGTTATTTATTAACTCTGAAGAAGTGGCTCACATTTAGTCACAAAATGTCAGGACCAAAACGTTTTACTCATTGGGATATAACAAAAAATTTATCTTTTTTGGACATTAACAATTACAGAACAAATTGAAACATCTGAAACTATCGTCAAAAGTTAGGATAATTAGAATCCTAAAGCGAACTTAGGATATACCTGATTAGTGAATATTAGTTTTCTACATCTTTGAGGTCTGTAAAACGCTATTTTTTTCATTATAAAAAACCTACCTTAAACCTTACCCTACCCAAGTGTATATTTATTACAATGGTACATCATCGTTTACAGATACTTAGTGTATAAAATCGAATTCTTTTTTAAAGAGGATTTTCAAAAAAAAACATTTATCTGCCCGACATATTTTTTGTTTGTTTCTATGATTGATGTTATTTAACCATCAGCATTAAACTATTCAGTTTATATTTTTTTCATGAATGTTTTAGAGAAAGTTGTTGAGAATTATTTAACTCATTGAGTAAATCAATAGTCCTTCATTATATGTCTGTATGAACATATTATAGTAAACAATTCAAAAGCTTATAAATGTAAACAATTTATTGAACTCAATGTATTGATAACTATATAAAGAAAGTTAATGTAATATAGTTACTGTTTACTTGAGACAATAAAACATGATGGTCGCATTTCTGTTTATTTCATTTAGTTGAATAGAAGAATTTAACCAACAACTGACAGTTGTTTTTCTTATTAGAATCATTGATCAGAGAAAAAAGAAAATCAACAAATCGGACTTGGTCGATACAAAAATAAAATTATTTATGATGAAGACAAGATTTACGAATTGAAACTACTATTCACAGTCAGTTATATGTAAAGTAGAACTTGGGAAATATTTGCATCTGTTCATGCTGCAATACCACATCACGTTAGAAGAGCAAGATACTACAGCAATATCAGTACAAACAGTATAGGAGGTATGAGGAAACATCAAGTATAGAAAATATGATTCTAGTAGAAATCATGTTCTTGGAAAAGATCTACCTTAATTTACTAATCGTTAGTTACAAAAATTCGGTAAGCCATAAGCAGATAGTTTATACCTACTTACATTGCTCTATTCAACAATTATTGACTTTATAGATTAATGCCACAAACTGATTCGACCACTTAGAACTTTCGTGCTTCCTACTCTTACATCAGCTCTCACAGCGACCGATATGTTCGATTGTTGAGTATACGTAGAAAATGTCCCGAGGACTACAGTCGATGAACATTCCACATTCATCTTTACCCAGTCACCTGCTTTCACTTTACCAATACTCACTTGAAGATCTTACTATATCTCAGAAAAAGCTTCTAAAGCATCTATCATCAAATAGTTGTGACATAAAAAATTATAAGGACCACATTATACAGCCATAAAACAAAATGGTACGAACTGGTTGGTGAATGAACCTCCAACCTATTCATATTGCTATTTAAATAACATTTCTTGAAAGATGACAATTGGAGATAGCGAAATATAATTTGTTAAGAAAAAGAGAGAAGTGATGAAAGATTTACGCAAATGTTCATAAATTAAGAAAGTGCTATAAATTCGTTTGATGAAATTCACGAAATGAATGTAACGAAAATTTGTAATTGTACTACACACTAACCAATGAATGTGAAATGAAGTTATAATAAATTCGCATTAAATGCATTCAAGTAACATGCATAAGCTGAGAGGTTTTCTACTTTATCTTACAAATTTAGAGACTGTCTAATAAATGTTGTTCCATTTTTGTACAAACAGTATTTTACTAGTGTTTGGATTTTTTTCAAGTATTTATTTTAGTGTTGTATAGCATCGACCAGCACAGTATATATACACACACATAGAACTAGTGAACTGTTGAAAAGATTACACAAAATATTTATACAGAAAGTCAAAAAACAAGTCGAAGAATAATATTATTTGGAAGTTAAATATATTTTTTTTTAAATATTCGCCAACTTACCATATTACTGTGTAAATAACTTAAAGTATTTGCAATCACATAAGTGATATTACTAGCTTCACGTTCAGAAAGAAATTTTTCTCGGAAAATTTTATCCAATAATTCACCACCTTTTAAATATTCCATAACAAGATAAACTAAATTCTCATTTTCATAAACCTAATTGAAAGAAAAACAAATAAAAGAAAAACAATAAACATATGGTTCTAATGTTTTTGAAGGCTAGTGATACAATTAGATTGTTGGAACAAGCAATACAGAAAACGAAATAGAGTATGAACTCTTCGCTGAGAATTCTATATTGTACCAAAACTATAATATCGAATAAAGCCATTAATAATAATAATTAATAATAATAAACTCAAGTGATTTGAAATAATACTGTTTAATTAATATAACAACGCTTTACTATAAATAAAACTTGAAAATATCAATATTAAGATATATTTCAACTACCGGAGTTTTCTAAGTAGATATGAATTACCCTTATCCCTTTTTGATGCTAACGTTACTCATTTACTAAGGACAAATTCAACTTTCAGCCACAATTTAAGTGTAAGAGCTAGTGATACTACCAATTTGTTCAAAGTTAAGGAGGCGAAGCAGAACGAGAACGTGCGATCTAGTTGTTGAAAGTTAAACTGTTTGTTTCCTAAGCCAGCACATAAAATGATCCTTGATTCCAACTGGATATCATCTTTACTTTCTAATTATTTGGTGTATGGATAGTGAAAATAAATGTGATTGGCTATTGAGTGTGAAATAACAAATACAAACTACTGATCATTTATTTTCCATGGTTTACTTTCCTATATATTGAATTCTACTCTGAACTCACTGAATGTTGACTGTTATAGTTTTTATAGTTATGGCATTGTCTGATCTATATCCTAGACCTCTACACTTGGTTGTGAATATTGCATCTATCTGACCTATCGTGCAGTCTATGAACAGAGGATCAATCTATCCTAATTAGTAAAAAATTTGGTGGTAGTATCATCTCGATTGCCCGTTGTATTACCGTATTATAGAAGCGTTACAGGAAAAAACAGAAAAAAATTTATTCCCCCATTGTATCAGTTTTGCTGCACTAGGAAAAGAGAAAACAACTTACAAAAAAACGTGATTCATAAATCTAGAGGTATTTGTACAGTCTATATAAATTTAGGAAATTTAAAAATAGGTAAACATGGTTGATTTGAATAAGTGGAAAGTTACAAGTTAAGAATGAAAGGTAGGCAGTAATGGTATTAAGAAAAAAATACCACTATCGAAATTGAAGAATGAATTGGCTAAGTTTAGACTGTAAACAAATTGCTTTTGTGTACACAAATGAAGCTTAATATCCTTTAGCGAAAACTGTTGTAAACATAAATTCTAAAAACTATGAAGTGATAAAAAAGTGAGATAATGAGAATGATTTGTTGCTCACGAGAAAAAGCTTTGAAAATAAACAAGTTATCCTGAAGCTGTCAAATCTGGATAGCTACTAACACACTAACCAAGTATCACATACATCATTCCTAAACGATTATGTGTTGTATTGTTGATATCCAAAGATGAATTTTAAAGCGTTAGCTATCAGATTCTAGTCTCAGTGAGTATACCAACGTTAGAAGTTTGACAAATGCAACTGATGAGTTTTAAATAAAGTGAAAAATTGGTCCAGGATATCACTCTTAATCATGATATAAAAATGTAAATCGAAAATACTTGTTAATGCTGAGAATATCGAGGGTTTTGTTCAAAGTGTACATACATTAACAAATTTAAAATTTCAATCTGAGATATCAATAATGACCAAATATAAACCCTTATGAATAATAAATTACTGTTTATGTTCAAAATGGTACTTTTATTCATCTTTAAATAGATTTGTATATAACAAAGAAGGTCAACTGTAAAATGTCTAATGATGGCTGTCGAACGAAAGAATTTTTCCTGAACACGTTATAAGTGAGATTTAATTCATAACTATTAATCTTTAATTCTGTTATACTTCAATATACAACTTCATAACAATAATTATTCTTAAAACTATAATTTATCATTAATTTTTTATGAATATATAGTAAATATTTATTATCACATTTATTGTAGACAATAATATTGTTAATATAATTTTCAAAATAATATATGCATAGAATGTAAAGGTGTTGATCTAAACAAACTAAGGTCATTTGCATACATTAGCTAGTTCTATTCACATTAATGAATTATCATTTGAATATAGATTTATAGTTTATTTCAAATAAATTAAAGAGTGAAAGAGTTGTTCAAATTTGCCCAATTAATTTTACTTATCGTCTACTAATAGTAAATGTAAAGTATGATTTAAAGTGTTTAGATACACAAATTACCGAAACATTCCATATCAAATTGAAACTTAAGAGGTTAAAATCTTGTTTCCTACTCAAAATTAGATCAATGATTGATTTATCGGTTGATTTGTATTAATTATACATAGTGAATCTATCATTGGTAGGCAAATCAACGTGTAAATTTGTTGGCAGCTTACGAGATGGATTTATTTGCACTTATTTATAATTATTAAAAATGACTGATGATATTGTAGTGTATGTTACTTATGCTGTCAGATGTAAGTAGTATGTAGCCACGATCGGAAGTTGTCATGCCTGGCAGCAGAAGACTAAATTAAAGAGAACACAAAGCAAATCGGAGAGCAATTAAAATAAAAACGGAATTAGAGGAATAGTGTAGTAGATAAAAGACAACACAAAGATGTGCAAATGATGTATTTAATGTATGATTTTCACATTTTACTGAAGCACTCTGTAATTTCGCATTGAATAATAAATAGGTTTTCCCCACTTGTGTTCTCGTTCACCACACTATTACTATGAATATGTCTTACATATGTTTATAATTATAATTTTAATATAAATTCTGTAATCATTGTTTAGATATCTAACGAGAAACGTTGTATAAAGAGGTTACTTCTTTTTCAAGGAAATAGTAATTGGAGGCCTATTTCTAAATCTGCTGATAGTTGTATAACAAACAATTTATTCAAACAATAATAAATTGTCATATACATATGTTCCTTCTAAATCTGCTTCTATATATTTCACTACTAAAACAGGATGTCAAATATTCTGTAGTACGCACTAGTCGGTATGTAAGAGACTTGAATCAAGAAACCTTTTGTTGGTGAATTTAATGAGGACATTAAAATTAAACATTTCCACACAGTACCACACATACTGAACTGATTGCGTTTAGATTTTATGCTTCTGCATTCTCAGAGCTATTACCAACTTCAAAGAATAAACATTTATTTCCTACATTAAACAATTACGATGAGTAGTCTATAGCTAAATATTTCTTAAATTTACTTTTTACTGTTATATGTGTGTAGTGGATTGGGGAAGTAAAGGTTTGTTGAAACATTGACTGCACAATTACTGATTATTTTTGTCTTTATCGAGCAATATGTTTTAGAAAAGACATTTCATTACGTAAAACATATATATCCCTGTGAATCAAAGTAATGAGAAAACAACTTCTTCTTCATAATCAATAGAAAGATAAACTTGATCTGTTTCACGTAAACTATCACTTAATTCGCCTATTATATTATCATTTTTTTAAAAATAAAGGCAGTATATCAACACAATGGGTGGAGTTTGTAGAAATCGTTATGTTTCATCCTTTACACAACGAAATAACTTTAGACAATTATAGGAAACAAGGAAGCATTGGTCATGGTTTCGATCTCTGCCTAAATCGTGGATATTCAAGTCTGGAAAGTACTATGCTAGAAGGAGAAAACTAATTTACGCTTTCTGGTTTCTAATGGTTGTCTAAATGAGGTCAATTCGTGATATTAACTATTAAACATTATATATATATAGTTAATTTATGCTTAAAATTTTCTGAAATACTTTTTATTTATTCAAGCAAATCCCGATTGGTTGATATTTTATGTTAGGAAAATCAATTAACCAGCCATTATTAGAATACTTTATATCAATTATAATTGAACTTTCTAAACGTTATCGAAAGTAATCAAGTATACTCTATATTTGATTAATTTTTTGTGGAAAAAATCTTTAAAAGAACGATAACACAATGAAATATGTTTTAACTGTCTTTTTTGGCTTAGTGAATTCTTACATTAAAATTTAATAAATATTTCTTTGTATAATAGTAAAAGAGAAAAATCATACCAATAAGGTGTTTAGCATTAGATTCAAAAGACATTTTTTTAATGATCAGCTGAAAGTGAAATAACACTGGGTTTTTTTAATTAATCTGTCACAACGTGTTGAAAACACTTACAAGGTGAATATTCTCGTATACTTTTATTAACTTATTTATTTGTCAAATTAAATGGAAAAAAATTCTTTGTTTTTATATCAAATTAAAATAGATTTAAAAGATGATGAAAAGAATTTGTAGGTTATAAAAAGTATTTTCAATTCATCGCGTTATTTATGATATTGGTTGTTATATCCGAGCGAAGAATAAATCACGAGTAATTTCTGAGACATATTAATTGACTAATATGATCTATACATTCTTATGGTGTATCTATTCAATAATTAGATTATGTATATTTATATTCCCCTTATTATAAGCTTTATTCTGACCTATAATTTATTATTGTACGATTTACTGTTCTTAAGCTATGTTCACTTTATTGACTACTGCCTCCCATGTTCACAGCCACTTTTTTGGCTTTATTGTATACAAATGTTATTTCCTACTTTATGGTGCGTTGCGGTCTGTTTGGTGGATACATAAACCCAGTATGTCTGAAATAAATGATTCGATTCGCATATTGGAAGCTAATATTTGGTGTTCTGGACTCAAGTGGACGGGCTAGGCGGACATACGACCAGTAAGGACGCTAGACTGCCCATACAGGTCGAACGTCATTGATTTGGCACAGTGCTAAGTTTGTATAAGTCGTACTTTGATTGGTGATAAAAAGCCGGACATAAAGTCACAACATTGATTTTGTAGCATTATTACCTTTACTGTTGAATAATGTTTTGGAGATTTTTACGGAGATTAATGTTGATTTGTGAATGATTATAAACCGAGGTGCACTGAACATCTGCGTTATCGAAGTATGGAATTCTTAAACAATGAGGAACCACGACTAACACAGGGAGAGAATTCAGACATTTCAAGTCTAGTAGAAAATATTTAGCTTTCCGACAACTAATTCGCCATACAATGGTTCAAATTTTTAATATATGTTTAATTAATCTTTTACTAAAACAATATGCAACTTGTCATATGTAGAATTCCTTATAACATTGTCTAATTTAAACTTTTACGCGGAATAATTAAAGACTACTTTTCTTTTTCTAGTCATGTGAGTAAAGATACAAATTAAAGTAAATCCTATAAGAAATGATTAGATCTAATTAAGAGTGAAATATATTTTATTTCTCAAGAAGAAATATCAGTAACACATTTATTTAATATGTGAACTCATCAATAATGGGACTTACTACTTCAGCTAAAAATAGAACTGAGCATAAATTATCAAGTGTGGAAAAAATGGGTCGTCAACAATTACAGTGAAACATGTTATTAAAAGGAACTGAAATCCGTAAAGATAGTGTATTTGTTCACTTACTGATCATTGAGTAGTGATCAATCATAAGTTTGTCCAAAATTTCGATATAATGTTATCGATCATGGTTCAATGCAGCCACTAGTCTGTAGCAGCTGACACTAAATGTACTATTTTTAAAGTAAGTTGATTGGAACTAATCGACATGAAGCACTGTAAATTGGTCTTGCATTTCTCATGAGACCCATCAGCATAGTGTATCTTGACTCTAAGAGGGAACCGTTATTTATTATGATATCATAGTTTACGTCACCCAGTGTCATTGTCAGAGGCGTTGACATTAAGCCATTTAGACTGAAGTGAACACGTTTTTAAATTATAATGTTGGAGGACCCAACTTCTAGTACGAAAGTAAAAATCATTAACTTTAAAGATCCCAATATTCCACACTGACAAGTGTCAACAAATGTAAAACTCAGGTCTCGCGCTTCATGTCAGTTATATCAAAATAACTTACACTAATTCACACTTATTAACCACTCTATAGAAGAAATGGAACGTGATTTGGAATAGCTTACATTTTAGACAACGCCAGCGATGCGATAACAGCTAGTTGTAAAATGAATAAACGTATACTAAATTAACAGTTAAATTAACTGATAATCATAATAGTATTATGGAAAATGATGAATAAATATAACGAACTTACATCTCGAACGGAAACAATATTTGGATGATTATGGTGTCTAAGCAATATTTCAACTTCTTCACGGGCATCCCGTTTTGATTTATCAATAATCTGAATGTTTAAACAAAGTAACAGTGTGCAAATTACTAAATGGAATTTGAGCAATAAGGAGAATATTTCTAACACTGACATATCTATATAAACACAATACTCACTTTGAGAAGAATACCTTGTAACATTAAATATATATGGAATAAGATAGGACGTTTCTAAAGCAACGGGAGTACGCGTAACTACGATAAAACAGATCTTCAAAATCTCCAGGTTTTTTATCGAACGTCTAGTTCAAGTCAGTTTGCGATATAAACTATTCTAAAATAGAACATTATTCACAAACCCTTTATGTTATCAATACATAAGATTTTACTTTTGAAAAGAACATCAACTTAGTAATTTAAAACGTATAATCCACTGAATCAGTTTCCTTATTTATAATCGATTTATTTGTTAATGTTGTATTCTCATAGATAAATTGTTTACATGTGAAAAGCTTACACAATGTAAACTATAGTTTATTCTAGGAATATATCCTCAATGTTTAGTCCTGATCGTTACAAATTACAAAATATTACTTTTATTTTTTTAATATTCATCTTTTAACTTATATAATGTATTATGGTGAATTTGGACAATGCATATGTGTATCAGGCAGAATGTTGATCTGTTCTAAAGTTAAAGTGGAACTTTTAAAAAAACCAACATTCATAAGCTAAAAAATATGCCATTTTCACAACTTTACACTATCTATTTGACCTTATGCTTAACAAACCGGCACATATTTTTTGAGCACCAAATTGACAAAATTACAACAACTATAAAAAGATAACAAATGGAACACTTGCTGTTCCTATCATCATCATTATTCACTTCCTTTTTAATCATTTCTGATATATATAAGTACAAAACAGCATGATAAAGTATTTCGCATATTTATACCCAAACAAAAGTACACATAAAGTATATACTTCTAAATTAATAATTCTAGAAGAATATGATGCATGATATTTTTTGTATATAAATACATTTTTTTAAGAATACCATTTACAATATGAAATTAATGAAAAGTTAATTCAAAAAAGTGAACTGTTGAAATGGAATGAAGAATAGGTTGGAGAAAAAATTAATATATAGAAAGCGTAAAATTCCTAGGAAACATTTAACAAATCCCCATTCTTATACTAAAATTGTACAGCCAAAAAATTGGCTAAACCCTTTTTTACAGCTGAGTAAAAAAAATCAGAAAAGTGGTGGAGGGAATACAATCAACGTTTCTAAATGAAATACATACAAAGTAAAACTGACTTTTGTTGAAATTAGGAAAATTGAAAACACAAGGCAAGATAATGCGTAAACTGGTTGCGGAAAAACAAGTTAATATCAAATATACCGAACCAATAACTAACAATCTGAGAACATATGTATGAAACGTTAACATAGAATACAAGAAACAAACAAAGACCTTTGACAGACGGGCACAAATAATTTAAACAACGACTTGTTACAAAGCTGTAACAACTAAATGAATTATATGAAAAATTGTCAGTTTACTCCAACGAACATTATTCACGTGTTGTAGGGTTTAAAGTAAAAAATACTAATATAAAGTTATAAACGTTTAGGCCACTCGCTTGACATTGGCATTGATTGTTGCAGGCGCTGCGTATGTAGTGACAGGCGTTTTGACAAAATTAATGTGATATATTGCCTGACTTATTTTCAAGCTTTAAACAATTGTAATTAACTTCAATGGTTAAGATCATGAGTAAGTATTTTAGATAACTTTCGCTTAGTTTTCAACCTTAAAAGTCATTACGTCACTAAAAAAATAATCGTTAGACAATTATTATTTCTTTTTCATTGAGATCATGAATCAATTGATGTGAGACCACCGTTAGAAACCTGGAAGCAATTGACGGCCGTTTCGTCCTAGTATGGGACTCTTCAGCAGTGCGCATCCACGATCCCGCTCCCTGCGAGATTCGAACCCAGTACCTATCGGTCTCGCGCCAGACGCTTAACCAACTAGCCGGCGTCCAGTGGTGTTAGTGTCTAACATCAACCAATCCACGAAATTGCGCGACCAACTTCCATTGTACCGATGTAGATACCTGTCTCTACCCGATACGGATTAGCTCCACTGGTCACGGCTTCTCACTAGAACTGCGAGAATTCCCTCACGAAGCTAGTCACTAGTGAGCACATGTTAATTATCAGTATAGGGGTTAGACACTAACACCATTGGATGCCGGCTCAGTCGTCTAGTTGGTTAAGCGCCTGGCGCGAGACCGATAGGTACTGGGTTCGAATCTCGCAGGGAGCGGGATCGTGGATGCACACTGCTGAAGAGTCCCATACTAGGACGAAACGGCCGTCCATTGCTTCCAGGTTTCTAACGGTGGTCTAACATCAATTGATTCATGATCTCAATCAAAAACGTAACAATCTCCACAACCCCTATACTGATAATTATTATTTCTTCAATGAGTAGCCTTATGTAACCTTTCCACTGTTATCATTGACTCACAAACCTCTTCGATTGGTTGAATGATTTCACCTATGCATATAAATACTGCTGTATAATTAAAGACTAGAGTATCTAACTGAAAACAATATTGTTCGAATTTACAATATGGAAGTTTTTAAAATTATTTAATTTGTTTAGTATTTACACCATTAAGTAATAGTAAACAATGTGAAAAAAATGTAATTATACCTAATATCGTATAAATGATCCAACGAAACGATACTTTTAGAAAAGATATTGATAAAATTCATACAAAGACAAAGCTGTCAGCAAAATTGTTCAAAAGGTCATAGTGATTAAGATATTTGTATTACACACACACAACATATCCATTTATATTAAATACACATTTGATTTGTGTCATGCTTAGATTGCCTTTACCAAAATACATTGAGTAGTTGAATCAGACTGATTTTTTGACAATCAGTAAACCTCTTTCAATGCCCCTTATTATGTTATTGACAATGGACACAATAATGAAGACAATTTCTCAGTTAGAAATCAAGTGCATATCACTTTGGTAAAGTAGTGTAATATTACATCATCTTGGTATAGCAGAAGCGATCAGCATCATCTTAATGTAATTTAGCCTAATTATATAAAAGTGATAGACATAACTATTTTATTTACCTTCAACGTCATTAAAAGTCAAATTTTATCAGTGCAATCTAATAGGATTATTCTCTCTTCTCATATTGAATGATATTAATGATTGTTATTTATATCATTATGATTATTATCATGATAACCGCGATAAAATTCTTATTTTCTGATGAACATTTTACATATGAATTCTATCTATCTATCTATCGGTTCAAGGTATAGTATTATTTTTCACTTTTTATTACGTGACCCTTTTAGCTTTAGCAAATACACATGTTATGGGTATTTAAGATAGTGTCACCATCAATATATATATATATATATATATATATATATATATATATATATATATATATATATATATATATATATATATATATATATATATATATCTGTATTTATACCTACGTACATAAATATTCTTTTCATTTTGAATTATAGTACATAAACTAGCAAAACATATTAACAAAAATGCTATTTCGATTGTGATATTTATATCTGGCATTCATCAAAATGTACATCTGATAAAAAAAATAGTAATCATAAAATAATAAAAAAATAGAAAGAAGATACAAGCAAATTCATGAAAGTCATGTTTGGATTTTAGTGATGTTGATCATGATGAACTGTGTGACTTGAGAAATTAAAAACATACATATAAGAAAGACAAAATGTTAAATACACAAGCAATAAAAACATGAAACTATTGCAATGAAAAAAAAGTATTATATGATTTAGGAATTATGCAATCGATTGCACTGAACTCATATGATCAAAACATGCTGACTTAGCGACAACTTCTCGAAATGACCGAGTTATTGCTACAAAACCTATAAATAATCAAATGTCAAATGAATAGAGTTCAGCGATGAAAATGTTTCCACAATGACGTCATTTACTGAAACTGTACAATCGTATTCAGAATGAATACACATGAAGTAGTGTATAAGAAAATATGAAATTATTCAATCAATAACAAAGATATCATAAACTAAATAAAGGTACCAATTATCAAAAAAGTTATGCAACAGTCAAAAATTAATACGAATGGAAGTACAAATGACATGACAGAACAAGTGGGAAGTATATGTCATACATAAAAATAAACATAATTAAAATTCATTGAAAGATTTAATGACTGTAGGTTATTAACTAGCATATAAATGAATGTAAGACCTGAATCTCATGGAGTTTGTCCGTCATATCAAACTTAGAAACGACTCATAAAAATGAAAGTGAAAATTTTCATTGAAATACATGCATTATTTGTTTTATTTGATAAGAAAAAATAATCCAGAATTCGATAAGCTTAAGCAAATAGTTTCGGAAAAAAACAACAAGTAAATAACGATTGAAAGTAATATACAGAAGTTTGTAAAGGTGGTAGAATTTTCATAGTTTCGAATGCAAATGGACGACGGTGGATTAATATCGTGAAATGACTGAAGTTAGATATGGACATAATTCGATGCCAACTCAGTAGTCTAAAGGTTAAGGGTTCGCATGAGACCTAAGGTCTCGGGTTCGATTCCCAGCTAGGGGGTTGTAAATGCTTACTGATGAGGAGCCACGTATTAGGACGAAGCGACCTTTCAATGCTTTTAGGCTATCAATGATTGTCTAACTAAGATCAATTTACGATTAAAACTATAATAATTATTCAAATATCTACTACTTGAAACATAACTTGATGTCATAAAAAGTCAACAATTTATAAGAGATAAAAACAAAACAATTAATCATGTAGTCATCGTAAAAGGACAATGGAAGTCCGTATGTAGCAACAGTTGCTCACAATAGCCAATTATCGATATAAGTATTATTACTAAGGTTCTAACTGATTGTTACAAAGAAACTGAGCATTAGGTAGTTTGAACTTGTGTTAATTTATTTCAGTTATTGAAATACTCTGTGAACATGTAAC